AAAGACGCCTTAGTGTGGTGAACTTTGTAATATTCCTCGTGTCATGGAGAACGTATACAAAGTGTCTTTGAAACGTCATAAAATTACACACCTTTGGCATATCAATATCCTTCACATTGCTCTATATTATATGAGAAGAAAACATCAACAATACCTGATTGTTCTACCTCAAGGACTTGTAATCATTTCGGGTTCGAGAAATAACACAACTGCAACAACACTTGCACTCTTGCAGTCAGCAGCATACTGAACCAACTCATCGCACCAGAAACATCTTGAGAAGCAAAAGCTTCTCCCCCAATTTCTTCAAACCAACTCCTACAGACAAACAGTTAGAAAACAAACAAGTACCGACAATGTTTCATATACATGTCGCGTACTAAGGAACAAATCATATTAGAAAACCTGACCGGACAGACCGACCTGCTCTGATACCACTAATGTAACACCCTTCTAAACTCCCAAGAAATTTTTGCGAACAATTAATAAATATTCAAGCACAAATCACCAACAAGGGCGTCACATCTTCATATAAAATATCATAACAATACATCCTGCTCCGTAACACGAATTTTCAACCATCATTAAAACATTTATCTCTTTGAATATATCATCAAGAACTTTAAACATCGCAGCGGAAATTATAGTCCTAAAACATATTTATTAAATACTTTAAATAAAATACCATCACGCTTCGTGACTTATAAGTAAAGCTCAAAACATCTTAATAAACAAACCAAAATATCTCAATGCATCATGCTAACAAAGAAAATGGTTAAATTCAAACGAATCCAAATACCCCGATGTTAAATATTAGAGCAAGACCCTTTTTATTCAATCGACTCACACAAAAGACTCCAAGCTACCCTCACGCTACTACGAACTAATCTCGATCACATGTGCATTACCCATGTGGAGGCAACATTCAAACAAAAATGGGTTAGTAAATCATAATCATTATAAAAAGCATAAGTAATAGATATAATAGTTATAGCATGGTTACAATATAATAACATGGCATCATGTAGCTCTCCTCATCAAAACACCACCATTCAATAGTTAGTCAAATACATCACTTAATTCAAATATTATGCAATGCCACCAATAATAAAATGCAACTTTTCTAGACTCATGCATGTGGTACCGAAACATCATTGATGACTTAGTCATCGTTATCACCAAAGATCCCCACCAATAGGATCGGACCCTGCTTGGAACCAGAGCACATCATAAAATTCACTTAATCCACACTATGAGATTAAGGCCATCACTGGACAGAAGCATCCTACATACTTCATTAGATTATTATCCTGCAAAACATCACTGGACTATCCATCCTAACAAATGCTATGAATGCATGATGCACAACAACACATAAAAATACGACCACGGATAGTCAAAAATGCATCATCAACCATCATAATCATCATTTTCTCTTCACAACATCATAACACATACATCATAATCAAAACAACTTCATTTTATCATATGAATAGCAAACAATTAACTTCAAGACACTATCACAAAAATTCATACAGTAAGGTATACATATTGTTGGTTCAACATAAGATCTTGTCACTTAATCATGACACAATCACTAGATAATCACATTATATACTTCATATTATTTTACCATAGTTTAGATCATTACGTTAACTTTCTAATGCTTCAAACGAAACCTAAAACAGACTCTTGGTTCAAAAGTTATGACCATTTTAAGAAAAATTATTTTCTGCTAACTGCTGTGGCGAGCACCACAACTCCATGGCCCCCGCCACGCCCTCCACGCACCCTATTCCAACCGGAACACCCCTTATGCTGACCGGCACACATGCCAAGGCGATTGTGGCACCCGTCACAAGGTCCTGGCGACCACCATTCACAGAAACGTTGCAGTTCAATATTTTTCACATCTGGAGGCCTTCCAGATCTCAGAATTCAATTATGTAAAAATCCCCAGTCTCAGAATTAGAAATCCTACATTTGTATAGTATTTATAACAACCTGTAGCACTTATTTATCCATCATGGTTATTAATTTGTTGCAACATCATACTACCAATTCATTAATTTCTATCACATCATCACATTATCATGAACCAAAAATCCCAAACACAATTCCTACAATTATCTAACACTTAGACCAATTATAATAATCATGATAGACCCCCTTTACCTTAGATTATTTCTTGTTATTGAATTCTCTTTCCATCCTTCCGGTCCATTCTCGTTCTCCTCAAAGCCCTAGCTATTTGCCTTTTCTCTCTGCCTCTTTTCCAAATGAATGCACATAATGAATTTGGAAAAATTGTTTTCTCCTTATGTAACCTTTGGACCTCAAATATGGTTTTCCATTATTGTCCTCACTAATTATTTGCTAATTACCAATATGTCATTTTTGTCTCCAACTCCAATATTATTCTATTTTCTCTAATTAAATAATTCTAACTTAATTCTTATGATTATTCTAAATTGTCCCATAATTCTTGAAACACCTCTAAACGTCACATAAATCATAATTTCTCACCAAAATCATCAAAATCACATATCATCATCAAACTCCATAATTTAAATTAATTAAATAAATACTTTATTTAATCCCGGGATTTACACTTTTGGTCTACTATGTGCTTGTGGCTTTAATCTAAAGGATGTGAATTCTATATTGACTTTATTGTGTCAAGTGTGGGCTTCTTGTTTGGTTAGACTCTTCTTTACCCTATCTTTTACTTTGTGCTTTAAGATAGTCTCTTTATCTCCTCCCATTCTTCTTTAATTTTCAAAATCTTCTCCCTTTTTCAAAGGATTATTATTTTCAAACTTGAACTGCTTTCATAGGAAACTTGGACTTAGGTCCATGCCATTTACAAAACTCTTTTCTTAATAAAGTCATCAATCAACCTTAATCGAGATATGAATTTTTTCTTCAATACTTAAAATACAAAAACAAATTCAAATCATTTTGCCGCTTTGGCTTTTCACTTTAAAATATTTTCTTAAAATTAACCAACACACAAACCTTAAAGTTTTTTACCTGAACTACATGGATTTTGATTTCAACATTGTACATTGTTGGAATGTAGGCCTAGAGCTCATTGGAAGCTTTCTCAAATAAAAAATTGTAAAAAATTCTTCTTTTCTCATCTGCATAATCTATTTTAGAAATATTTCTTTTTAGCCAAATACATAGATTTTTAAAAAGGTTCATGCAGAGTAACATAGATGTTTAGGATGCTAACATCTTTACTTTGCATAACCAACCCACTTATCTTGATCTATATTTCATTTTGGGTTTGTTCGCTCTTTCACATTTCCATTTAGAAACAATAAAGTGCAATGACAACTTTCACTTTGTGAGATAAGTCAATCAATGGCTCAGTCTCAACTTTTTCCAACTACAGTGAGCATCTTTTCCTCGCTAACTTTTTGTTTCCTCGGTGCCGCTAGTCTGGTGGAAAGATGGATATTAAGGCAATGACTCCTCACTTTGGCGAGACAATTATCCAAAATGGAATGTTATCAGAGTTGCCAGGATCTATCAAAACACGTATTATGTCCCAGTTTCTGTGTTATACAATGATGACCAAAGGATCATCGTCGTGAGGGTTGATGCATATGGCGTGCTCCTCAAAGAAGATGATATTAATCGTCTACTCAATCAATGTTGGACTATTGAATCCCTATTTTAAGGAGGCCATGAGTGAGTTAATGGCTATGACTTCTCTCTGCCCCAGAAACGTCTTTTCTCGTGTTTCCATTGATAGAGTGATAAGAACACCTTAAGGGCGAAGCGATACCTCCCTTAAGAGATATGTTATCGTCGCCTCTCCTTGGGTGTCCTCTAGACATCACCCTAGGAGAGTCCTACAAATATAACACTACAAATAATAATTATAATAATAGTAAAATTATTCATATTTATTTAAATAGGTCAGTCTGATAAGCTTAAAAGATTTTTTATGTCTCGTGGCCTGATATTTTTAATTAAATAGACTTATAAAAAGCCCAAGTCTCTTTCATTTAAAAAGTGTTTGACCTAATTTGGGTCTGTGTGTTGATCTGACCTATTCTCACCCCTAAACATATAGGAAGATTATTGGACCTGAAAGTAAAGCAAAATATTTATGAGGTAAAAAGACAACTGCATTTTTTTAAATAAATTATTGGATAATTAAGATGAGTTTTTTTTAAAATTTTAATCCTCTTAGTAGAACAATCTCAATAAACCCATATTTATTCAGTCATAAATCACAAATCAAATATCAAATTAAAGATTATAGAAGTATCTTTTGAAGCCGACCAATATTTGGGCTCTAGTGGAAAAGGGGCTTCCACTAAGGACGGATTGTTTAAGTACTATCTTAGTTCGATTCTTGGTGGAAATAAGGTTTGATCAGTGAGTTGTCTCTTTGAACCACAAAATCAAATTAATCGGTTTACTATCTGGATCAAAATTGATTGGCTAAATCAAAATAAAAAAATAAAATAAAAATACCTTTCGAAACTTGTTTGATTTGAATTAGAATTGAGATCTACTTTCTTAATTTGTATATTTTTCTTTTTTTATAATACAAGTTTATTTATTTACAAAAAATATGTTTTATAAAGTGTTAATTTTTTGACTAAATTAACATAAGTAATTTATTAAATGAATTTTATGTTTAATATTCAAATTTGTTATTTTTTTTTACCTTTTTTAAAAATTTAAACTTTCCTAATAATAAAACTTTTTTTAAACATTTAATAGTCAAAATGTTATTATTAGTATTAATATTATTATCAAAGTCTGACTGAAAATTTTTAATTAATTATATAATATGATAGATTAATATATTTTTTTAGATGACATTGTAATATTTCTTTATACTCTAAATGCATCATTCTTTTTTTCTTTTTATTTTCAAAGAGAGGAAATGATATATTCTTAAAATTTCCAGGTGTATTTATGTGAGGAAAACGCTTGTTTTAATGACACTATCTAGTTATCACAAATCAATCATAATGGGGTTACTTCATAGGCCAATGTTTTTCAATTTGATCGTATTCATTGGTTATTGTTTTTGTTTTGGTAGAGCAATTGATTGTGGTGGAAATAAAATTGCTCAAACCATTATTGTTGACCAACAAGGAAAAGGAGCATTCACAAAGATTCAACCTGCCATTGATTCTGTTAAGATGAACAATGATCGATGGATTAAGATTCACTTAAATCCAGGAACATATGTGTAAGTATTTGCTACTTGTAAATTTCACACAAAATGAAATTTTACAAAGTTTTAAATATATAAAAAATTAAACCTATTATGGCTAAATTTATTTTTATATTTTCTCATGTTTAGATTTTTCTTTTATTGTGTAGAGAAAGTGTTTCTATCCCTGATGGCAAGCCATGCATTATTTTAGAAGGCTCTGATAGAACAACCACGAAAATTACTTATGGTGATAGCAAAGCAACAGTTACATTCTTTTCCAAACCACCTAATATGATTTTTAGCGGTATTACATTTGAGGTAAAAAAATTATTGTTTTCTTCATTTCACAAAGCAAAAAAATTAACAATTTGATAATGTAATATTATTGTTATGCAATTGTAGAACACATATGGAACTGAAGGACCTGCAGCAGCTGCTAAATTTAATGGTGATAAAGTAGCTATCTTCAATTGTAATTTTGTAGGTTATCAAGACACTTTATTTGATGCGTCGGGGATTCATTATTATAAGAATTGTTATATTCGAGGTGAAGTTGATTTTATTTGGGGTGAAAGTCGGTCTTATTATGAGGTATTTATAATATTCTCTTCGATCGCTATTATAATTTTTATTTTTTTATATATTGAATAACTTATGTATCTTATTTTAGAACTGTGTGTTAGATGCAAGACAAAGTAGTTCTAAACCTACAGGTTTTATCACAGCCCAACGTAGAAATTCAGCAAATGATCAAGGTGGTTTTGTTTTTAAAGGAGGGAAAATTACTGGAGTTGGTAAAGTTCTTTTAGGAAGAGCGTATGGTCCTTATTCAAGAGTTATATTTTGGAATACTGACATTTCTGCGGTGGTACTTCCCCTGGGATGGGATCCTTGGCAACATAAAGGCCATGAGTAAGTTTTATTCATATCTGCATGATAGTTTTTTAGGGCGTGGAATATAAATTATTATGTGTTGTAATTTGTATATTAATTCATAAATAAAATGATGCAGAAACAACTTTATTTTTGCGGAAGTTGATTGTACGGGACCAGGATCCAATACTCAAGGGCGTGTCAAGTGGGAGAAGAAACCCAATGAAATAAATATAAATGAATATTCTTTAAAATCTTTCATAAATCAAGATGGATGGCTCAACAACTTACCTCCTATATCTTTGTAATTTTATTTTTCACGTGATATAATGAGATATTGATATCAATAAAGAATCTATTTTTGATACCAACTTATTTGATATTAATATTATATTTATGTTGTGTTTAAGGTTGTTATGCTCTCTGTGTTCAAGTTTAAGGATTAATTTGGTTTAGTGAGTACTTTTTTTAGTTATGTTTTCTTTTGGAATAAATTTTTCCTTCTCCTTGTGATTATATATTTTTGAATGCTTTTTAATGGAATTTTGAATGATTTTAGATCTGATAATAAAACTAGCGATGCTGGGAAAAAAAGGAAGAGGTTTGAAATTCTGGCAACAGATACTTAATGTCATAGTGAATGTTATGACACCGTATCTGACACACTTGAAGACAGTAAATTAAAAACAGTAAAGAACACAACCAATTATTAACCCAGTTTAGTGTGTAACAACACCTACTCTGGGGACTACCAAGCCAGAGAGGAAATTCACTATAAGAGATATTAATTCAGGAATAAACCAACCAGTTTATCTCCTTCACTTAAGACCTACCCAATGCAACTTCAATCTAAGTTCAACTTAAACCTGAGTTCCTACTCACTCCCCCTCAATCACAGCAGTGATACTAAACTATTGATTAATGAGATTATGAAGACACTATTCAATACACACACTTGATTTTTCTTCAAAGCTTTAATCAAGAGACACAATCACTCGTGCTTCAAAGCTTTGAGTGATAAACAACCCTAACTTGATTTTGCTTCAAAGCTTTAATCAAGAGACACAAACAATCGTGCTTCAAAGCTTTGAGTGATACACAACCCTTACAATCAAATCCTACTCCAAGTCACTTATCACAATGATAATTGCTTGGCTCACAGTAGTTACAACTATACAATCCCTTATTGATCTTCTGTCAAAAAGTACCCTTAACCATTAATCTTCATGAGGAATATATAGGCAGACTATTCTTCAGTTAGGGCTTCCACGAAAATAGCTAGGGTTAACTAAAGTTAACCTAAAGACTTGGTCTTAGGCTTTCAACATACCAGATTAGGGTTAAGTAAGGTTAACCTAATATCCACGTGAGCAACTGATCTGGACTGTATACATCAACTCAGAGAAGCATACTAGATTCCTGAAAATTCTCTGGAATAATAAATCTGCACAAATGCTAGATCAGTACAGAATGTCTTAACATTGGTTATGACAACAAGAGTCCTGCTCACTGATTTTGGTAGAATTCAATATATATGATCATAGCTTAATGATCATGATAATTACTCATACTGAGTATTTCCTGTAGAACATTCTTTTCTGCAGAATGTACCTTTATCCCAGAATGTTATGACATCAGTCATGACATTTGCAAATCTGGTTTTACCAAAAAAAATGCCAACAAAAAAACACTTACAAACTCCCCCTTTGGCAAATTTTTGGCTAAAACCCCTAAACAATCAGAGATTAGAAAGCAGCAGAATTTTTAATAACAGCTACTAATATCTAAATCTACCAAAATTACCACAATTTCTTCTCCCTCTTTTTAGCCATAAAGAGGCCAAAGATACTTGTACTTTAAGTTATACGGTCATCCAAAAGGAATTAAAGAAAAAGCAAAAAAAATTATTTGGCAGCAACAAGTTCCAGCAGCAATCTTTTCAGCAAACACTGACCTTCAGGCACTGTCATCCCCTGAGGAAGCACTATTTTCAGCATTATACTGGTCTTCATCAGCATCCTCTTCCCTTATTTGTTCTTCATTCTCCTCCTGTTCTAGTCTAGCAATCAGCTCTTCAAGAGTCCTTTTTCTTGTATCAAGCTCTCTGCAGGTTTCTTTTAGCACAGCTATAACATCAGTTTTCTTGGAATGAGTTTTGACATTTGATGTCTCAGCAGATTTCATAACAATGTCAGGGACATGTGTTCCCTGACACAGCTTATAGTGCAAACCAAGTGCAGGGGCTCTTTTGCATACAGAGTCCTTTTCAACCAGAATATCAGGATACTGGTCAATGATTATACCACACAGGAGAGAGGGAAAAGCAATAGGGCCTTTAATCGCACAGCTTCCAGCATGTTTCAATTTTTGATCAAAGATGTACTTTCCATAATCAAGGTTTTTTATGGTTCCAACAGCAAAGATAAATCTTCCCAAACCTGTGGAAATGGTGGATTTGTGGTTGGTGGGAACCCAGTTAACTGCACCAATTTTGTGCAGTATGGCAAACTTCATGCTCGGTTTGCTTGCATTTAGCTTCCCTTTCAAGGGCCAGTGCTTTACTTGCTTGGCAGTGATGGTTTAACAAACTTGGTTGTCAGTAACTTCAAGCTCAGGTTGAGCATCATCAGACCTTCCTAGGAAATTGTTTATCACATTAGGAGAGAAATTTACCTTTCTTCCTCTCACATAAACACTCATAAAATCAGCTGACTTTCCATCAGCACATCCATCAGACAAATTTACTATGAATTCTTTGACAAGAATCTCATAGCAGTTGGAAAACTTGACCACTGTTTTCATCAGGCCAGCAGCTTTGATTAGATCCATGATTTCTTTACACTCAATAGCACTGCTGTTCAGCTCTCTCTCCAAGGCAATCCTTTTCAGAAACATATACTTCCACCTGCTTGCATTTTCTGGATGGTGAAAGGAGATGTTGTCAATGGCAACTTCAGGAACCTTAGGCAATTTTCTACAAGAGGGTTTCTTTCTGAGAGGAATGTCTGGAAAATTGCTCTCAACATCAAAATCAAAGTCTGATTCCTTATCAGATTCAGAAGGTTCAGGATCCTTTCTTTTCTTGGCTATAGGTTGTTTCAAAGGTTTTGAGAGACTACCAACAGGTACTCTAGCTTTTACCTTCCCCTTCCCTTTCGACATTCCAGCTTTTTGATCCTTCTCAGCTTCTACTCTAGTCTTGTTCTCAGACCTGGTTTTCTTATGAACAACTTCAGTAGCCTTCTCTTTGGAGGGGCTTTGGGCAGCATCCTACTTTTCTTTTCTGCTCATCATCCTTCTAGCTATGCTAGGGTTGATATTAGCAATTAAATCATTGTCAGAGAATTCTTCATCAACATCAATAACAGAAGGTTCAACAACCTTGTCAGTAGGGTTCTGGTGATCATCATGTTTTTCTGAAGATTTCCTAATGTTGTCATCAGGTGTCTCAACATTCTGAGTGACACTGGATCTCTTTCTACATTAGGGCTAGCAGTTTCTTGGTTCAAAGGTACAGATATGCCAGGAACAGAGTGATTCTCATTAAGAATCCTAGTGACTAGTCTGACAATAGCTTGATGTACATAAGCAGAACCATCCCTATTAGCTATCTCTGGAGGAGCAGAAGATGATGGTTGAGAAGATTTACCAGATGGAGAAGCTTGTGATCTTCTTGCATGTCTGGTTCGCAGCTTCTTGACCTTAGTAGGATCAACTGCCATTTTACGAAGAGGAGTTATCTCAAGAACATCAACTTCCATGCAGTTTACGATTGCCCTAGGTTCGGTGTCAGAGGGTGAGGAAGAAGTAGTCTCCTTTGATGAAGATGATGACATGGATTGTTGAGACATCTCGAGAGATTTAAGAAACAAGTAACTGTGAGTGTGAAATCTTCGTTTGAGAGAATGGAGACTGTTGCAGAAAAGCGAGAAGAGGGAGGTATATGAATGTCTATTCCACTTCTTAAAATTTTGGAAAGAAAGAGGGAAACTAATGATTAGCCCAATCAGAATAGACTTAACTAAGATATCTCTTTCATCCCTTTTTTTAAGCAAAATTAATTGCTACATCTCTTCATATTGGCAAATACCCAGCTTGCCCCTTAAATTTTCAAACTGACTAACATCAAGTGCCTTGGTAAAAATGTCTGCCAGTTGTAGTTCAGTGGCAACATGTTCCAGCTGAATCACCTTTTCCTCCACAAGATCTCTGATGAAGTGATGTCTAATGTCAATATGCTTAGTCCTGTTGTGCTGTATAGGATTCTTGGAAATGTTAATAGTACTCAGATTGTCACAGTACAATGTCATGACATCTTGTGTGACATTATACTCAATTAGCATCTGTTTCATCCAGATCATTTGAGAACAGCTGCTACCAGCTGCTATGTATTCAGCTTCAGCAGTAGATAGAGACACACAGTTCTGTTTCTTGCTGAACCAAGAGACAAGATTATTTCCCAAAAAGAAGCATCCTCCAGAGGTGCTCTTTCTATCATCAGCACTCCCAGCCCAATCAGCATCACAGTAACCAGATAGAATTGGTTCACATCCATGAGAGTACAGCATGCCATAGTTGTAAGTTCCACTCACATACTTCATAATTCTTTTCACCTGGTTGATGTGACTTACTTTGGGTTCAGCCTGGTATCTTGCACAAACTCCAACTACAAAAGCAATGTCAGGTCTGCTGACTGTTAAGTATAGCAGACTTCCTATCATGCTTCTGTACAAGCTTTGATCCACATTTGCCCCACTTGTGTCTTTGGACAACTTTAAATGAGTAGGTGCAGGAGTCCTTTTGTGACTGGCATTCTCCATTCCAAACTTCTTGACAATATTCTTTGCATACTTGCTTTGAGACAGAAAAATTGAGTCTTCCATCTGTGTGACTTGCAGTCCAAGAAAGTAGGTCAATTCTCCCATGAGACTCATTTCAAATTCAGCTTGCATCTGGTCAGCAAAATGTTTAACCATTTTATCTAACATTCCTCCAAACACTATGTCATCAACATAAATTTGAGCTACCATTATCTTTCCTCCTTCATTTTTGACAAATAGAGTTTTATCCAACCCTCCTTTCCTGTATCATTCCAAGCTCTAGGAGCTTGTTTCAGACCATATAAGGCTTTTCTCAATTTGTAGACATGATCAGGACAGTTTGGATCGACAAATCCTTTAGGTTGTTCCACATACACTTCCTCATTTAAGTACCCATTTAGGAAGGCACTCTTTACATCCATCTGAAATAACTTGAACTTAAGGAGACAAGCAACTCCCAATAGAAGTCTGATTGATTCCAGTCTGGC